ACCATGTGGCATCTGAATCATGGCGCGAGAGCCCCCACTGCCGCCCCGGAAGATGGCAGCTTGGAGGACATTGTAGTTGTTCTCGTTTTCCCGCTGCACCTGACGTGTGAGGCACTTGGAAATGGTGCCTCTCTCGGGCCCTGGCGGCGGGCTTCCCCTCAAAACATGACCAGATTCTGGTAGGCCAAGTCGTCAGCATTTTCACACCGTTCTCACCTTATCGCACCCCACCCCTTTGTCTCGCGCCTTGCTGTGCAAATCGGCCCGTTCTGCAATCAGCAGCCGGACGAGCTCCACATGGCCGCGGCTTGCAGCCAAATGGATGGCCTCTCCAGTGCAGAGCTGATCAATCCTCGGAGCGCAAGGCTGCAGACCTTTGGGGGCTGCAGCATTGTTTAGAATAGATATGTCCAGATCAGAAACTGCAGATGTACCTACTGTATGAATGGTGTCCTTAAAAGGCTCCTGGCCTTTTCAAGCACCATAGCTGAAAGAAGACCTTGTGGCTCCGTCCTGCAGAAAGGGAGGTAGATAAAACTACTTTTCAGTGCAGGCAAGGCTCTGCTTGTAAGGAACCAGCCACGCATATTTTGCATTGATGTTGGCATCTGGATGGTCCAAGCAAGATTCCACAAGCTCTTTTGAGCCATCTAAGGCTGCTCCGTGCAGCCTCTGTCCCCAGCAGGTCCTTCGAGTAGGCACATGTGGTTGAAATGACACGGGGTGCAATAGTCTGATAGTCTAATTGATTGTGCTGCTGGATTAGTCACTTGCTCGACCTGGTGGAGATCTTTGAGCCTCCGACTTCTCATCAAGGACTCACCGTGAACCCTCAAGTTTTGAGCGCTTGGATGCTCAAGGGCCACCCCAACACCACCCCTCCGGGCGCTCCTATGGTTCCATGTGAAGGTCACCCCATCTGGACCATTACCATACCTTTTGGCTAACTGCCGGTTGCTTTCGCCATGCCTTCGCACCAAATGGCCAGATTCAGTTGTCTGGCCAGACTGGAGAAAGGACTGGTCATACGAAAGGTCCATGGCGAGCCGACGAAGCTGCCGTTTTTGAGCCGACCAACGTGGCATTCGAACTCCAAGCCATGAAGGCGACCGGGTCTCACCTATTTGGAAAATCTTTAAATACATTTGAATGCATGGTAGGGCCTCACTGCAGGCTTTGCAAGCCATCTTTTCAGATCAAAGTTTTCCTCCAAGCTCTTCCATGCCTTCGCCAGGACCAAATAGGCACCGCAAAGGGTGATTGTGTTACCTGGCTTCGGAATTCAACTGTCACGCCCCAGAGAAGAGGCAAGCCACAATGTATTGTTTCTTTGAACCTTTGACATCCTTTGACTATGAAGTCCTTGACTAATTCAATTCTTGTCAATGACTAAGACGAAGGACATGTGGCAGAAACATGACTCCTCCAAACAAACGACCCCGGCAAGGTCGACCAAAACCACGAGGCGGCTTGTTTCAGCCGGCTTCCAACCCAAGCTGCTCCAGCACTCAGGTCGCTCCGTGGTGATGTGCACCAGGGCATTTTGGGTGTGCGTCTGAATCAAGGCGTCCACCCAACGGCAGTAGGTCACAGTGGCACAAAGGTCCAAGGGTCCAAAGTCGCGGCCCGGATTGAAGGAGTTGTAGCTAAACTCCTGCTTGTCCTGAGGTTCGCTAGATTGGCAAAAAGTGGCAAATAGGCAAACTTGAAGATGACATGGCTCTGGGATGATTAGTTCCAGCCAAGCGTCATCCGTCGCGTATGCCACCACCTTAGCAACTCGCTAAGAAATGATGTGTTTTTGATGTGGATTGATGTTCTATACTTCAATCTAACAGCATGCATTTCTCCCTCTCCCTCTCCCCCCCTTCTTCCTCCCTCTCTGTCTCTCTCTCTCTCTCCCTCACAAAAGACCAAGGCTGCTGCGAGCTCTGTTGAACTCTTTTGCACGCATTGTCTTCTGTTTCCTCTATTTTGTATGTGACCTGCAACCCTGTACATCTGGTTCAGTGCTATTGGTGCCTTGAGCCAACATGTTCAGGAACCTCTCTCTGCTTAAACAAATCGAAGGCTGTATCTCTACATCTCTCCTTTGGTGATGCACGGCCAACTCAGCTGCCTTCAAACTACTACAGCTTTTGATCTTTGTCAAATCTTCTCGCCTCCAAGTGATCCCTTCAAAACATTGAAGATTGACTTGCATCTGTCCTCACCTGTGTTTGGTTGGCTCATGATGCTGGTCTGGGTCAACATGATTGTTGCTTTTTGTTGGGTCCTAGTGCTGTCGCCTATCTCAGGAGCTGCTTTCAGTCTTTCAGTTGTGCAAGCGCTCTTCTTGACCTTGTCTATCCTCTTAGGTCTCCATCACCTTTCCCTGTCGGGTCCGGTTGCACTCTCTCTCGCCTGCAAGTCTGTGTCCACTTGTCTCCGGTGCTTGAGAGGTGGCATACCTGCGCCAGGGGTGGCGCTGGCGTTGATCATGATTTCTGCTGTGATTGAGGTCTTCTTTGACTGACCTGTTCCTTGGTGAGCAATGGCCAGCGGTTCTTCTGTTGTGTTAGCTGCTGGTGCTGCTGGTCTTGTCCTTGAAATTCCAGGCTTGACCATGAACCACTCTTCTCCTCTCCCCGCATGTCCTTTAAGGACTTCGCACTGAAGGAGCTCTCGATGAAGTCCTCCGTGTTGTCGCCTGTTCGATCCTGTTCGTCTGGCAGTTGTTCGTCTGTCTTTCTCCAGCCGTCTGGCGTGGGCGCATTTTCTCCAGTGCATGAGACTTCCAATGTCTTCACCAAGTATCCCTCTCTGTAGGTCCACTGGTCTGACCTTCCTCCTAAAGGAGTGTAGAGTGTAGACAATCTGCTGTGAGGGTGGTTACTGGAGCAATGCCTCAGTTTCCACCTGTTGCTCGTTCCGTCTTCATGCCACGCGGAAGTTGAACGATTCTCGTCGGGTAGGGTGGCTGTTGAAGACTTACTGTGCAAGCTGTGTCACCGACAGGATTGGTGCAAGTTGCATGTGTACAATGTATGCTTTCTACACGCAAGCCGACTTGCATCCCTGGAGTTCGACGTTGTCATTGGTTGCTGACCTGAGTCATGGTCCTTGTTTGTCGTCAAGCTTGTACCATGGTGATCTTGGTCCAAACCATGGTGGTGAGGGGTCCTCACAGTGCACATTTGTACACTTCACACTTCTCTTCTCCGTTCCCTTCTTCTGCTTCTCCTGTTGTGGCTGGTCTCGTCTTCAGTCCTTTTCTCCTTCCTCTTCTATGCTCTCTCTTTCTCTCACTCTCTACTAGAAACAAGGACACTATTAGGTGGAGGCCATCGCTACTAGTAACAAGAAGCTACTAGCAACAAGGACAAAGTGTTTCTCACTCTTTGCCAGCTCATCTTGTTGTGTCTGGTCTTCTTGTGCTTCTGCCATTTGTCCGCCACCGCTCCACGTGCCTCTTGCAGAGCTTGCTGCAGCCTGGATTAGTAACAAGTGCATCGCCTGCTATTAGTATCAGGTGCATTACTACTAGTAGCTCCTGGCATTACTACTAGGAACAAGAAGCTACCAGGAACAAGGGCATCGCTACTAGTAGCTCCTGGCCTTACTAATAGCGGAGCGAAGCTACGAACGTAACAAGGGACCCAACTGAGTTGGTCGCGGAGCGGCGGAGCGAACTGAGACAACCCCGAGTGGCGCTGCAGAGGCGGACCGGTAGGAGATTGCTAGGGGAGTGTTGACGTACGGACCAGTGGTGTGTAACACTAGTGTAACACAAGCAAGCACCTGGATCACGTGCTGCTTTCTCTTCTCCCGTGAGCTGTATCTTTATATACACCATCTCGCTCTCTCTCTCTCTCTCTCCTTCTGTCACTTATTCTTGGAGCAACAATGAAGAAACGATATATCTGGGCCGAGGGCTAGGTTCGTACAATTGAAGTCGCCCGAAACAAGCCATGCCACCAAGAGCTGATGTTTCATGATTAGATGTTTCATGATGGTTCATGTTTTGGCATAAGTGTACTTTTGCCATTTTCCGGATACCAAACCATGGTCTTCTGGTTCTGTGTTCTCCTGTTGAAGAAGCGGAAACTGGCTGATGCCAAGTGGCGTTCTGTTGTGGACATGCATATGCAGGTGCCCAAAGCAAGTGCACATTTCCCTCTCGCAGCCAGCTGATGGGCTGCATCGCCATCGCTGCTCATCCGAGGGTCTACACTCCAGGACACCTGTGACACCTCTCAATATGCTTTCCGTGTGCGTCGGTATTCTGCGTTTCTCAGAAATGGAGATCTCCATCTTGGCTTTCTCAGTTTCCCCCATGTCATGCTTCCTCATGAGAAATAGTTACAGTGCAGTAATCGTTTTTGGCGTCTGAATTGCCTTGCCTTGCAAAGAATGCCCTTGTCTTGGCACCAAAAAAACCTTAGCCTGTGTCATCCGCAGGATCTTGAGACACTTGGTGCAATTGATCGGAATCGTGGGGTGCATGGCATGTACGGTACATCACTGTCACACTCCATGCGCCCAACATAGATCTAAGACTTAAAATGTCTGGAATCAGTTGGCCCCAAGCATGGCCTGACATCGGCAGGTGGCGAGATGGGCGTGATATCATTCCATCCTAGCACATTCATGACCTGTGCTCACCTCGCTTTGGCTGAGCCACACGTTCACAGGCAGCGGCCGCCAATCAAACATACGTGTAAGGGCTTGGCCCTTTTGGTTGAAGCTGCCCAAGTGGAGAGGGAATTCTTCCTAGGCTTTATCGTCTTCACATGACACATTCCAGCTATGAAGACACGGGCTTTTGAAGGAGGCTCCAGGGGCCAGTTGATAGATGTTCACCTTGAAGAACTCCACACCTCTCCAAACCCACATGTTGTCGTGGCTTGAGGCTTACAAGCTGATTGAATCTCGAGTCTTCCACTCTCCACAACCAATCTCCTCACTGATTTCCCTGGCCGCCATTCCCCACCCACTTTCCAACACTCGAGTTTCCCCGCAAGGCCAGTTCCTGGAAGAGAGCCGGTGGCCTCAACGCGTCAACTCGGTATGAAATGCGCCAGTCGTCTGGAAGGACAAAGAAGTTAGGAAGGAGAAAGGCAACCGAGGCCAAGACACTATGCCAACAGCGCGGATGAGAACTTCTAACGCCTATATATAGTCACCGGAGAAGGGTGTTCTATGCCCCAGCTTACCAAGCAACGCCTGGTGTTCCCGGCCGATGTCGTCACCAATCCGGCCGGATGTCGATCAAAGTCTGCTCGCCAAGTGCCAAACCAATCAGCTGTCACGTCCCCACACCTGCACAGGGCCCCGAGATGGAATATGCATCGGACTGTTCGAAGAAGCTGTTCATGAGCGAAACTCCACGAAGGAGCAGCAAGGACAAGTCCCAAAGCTACAAAGCGTCTATATGAGTGACTTGGTCATGGCGTTGATTGAAGTTGCAGTTGGTCACCTTGTGAAACATTTCGAAACGTCATCAAGCTTCATCAGGAGAGTTGTCTTTGATCCTCTCAGTTGGCCCATGTTGCTTCCACATGTTCCACACGGTTGGGACCTCATGCGCTCGAGTGCTCCAGGGCAGTTGGGTGCAACACGCTCAGCCTTGGACACACGCATCGGGGCCAAAGGCGCCGGGAACTGTTAGGAGGTGAGCAAAGAATGCGTTTGATGCAGCGAAGTCATCCGCAGTCTGCTTGGCAGCTGTGCACGGCTGGGAAACAAAATGACCAGTGTGAGCTCATTGCACTAGTCCAAAGCATCACTAAACAGCACGCTATGGAGAGCGAACGGGTCATTGTATGCGCTTTCCGCTTTCGTGCTCTGACTTTGAGACACTTTGAGACTGGCGCAATTGGATAGGAGATGCCTCGGAGCAATGCAGAACTGCAGGACAACTCTTGCTGCAAATGCTTAGCACATGCCTCAACTCTGCAAAAGTGCATGATAGCGGTCAAATGGAAAGACTGCGCGCATCTGCATTTGAAAAGACTGCTCCACGTGGAAAACCCGAAACATCTGAGCCTCCTGGAGCTGAAGGGTCAGTGGACGAAGGCGCCAAGCCTTCGGGTCCGGGTACGATGCGAAGAGACGCGTCGAAGCAAAAGTTGCAGCAAAGGGGAATATTCCGAGTAAAGAAGTGTGACCAGGTGCACCCCCGTGCCCGCACAGCTGCACAGCTCCGCATAGCCATAGAAAGGTCACGAAAGGCACGCAGGACTTCAAACAGCCTCTAGCTACTGCATGCCAAGCTTTGGTCGCTCATTCTGCTGGAGTTCCGCCTGTCATGATCTCCAGCATGACCATGCCAAAGGAGTAGACCTAACCAGCGACACGTTGGAAATCCATGCTTTTGCGACATGAAAATTAATGCTCCAATCCAATGCAATCTTGTAGATCTAAAATCAGAGCGTTTGAATTGTCAACTATATGCTCTCTTTCTGGCACCTGTATTGTGTAAAATCTCTAGCTCTAACCAATGTATATCTAATCTGAACTCACCCAACATGGCCAAACTAAATAGAAAATGGGCCTTCCACCCAGGATTCAGTGGCTTGATTGCCAAAAAACACGCCACCTCGAACTAAATAAGGTCAGTTGAGTCACTTGGTGCTCATTTACCTCGCGGATGTGTCAAGGGCTTCCTGTTCCAACTATATTGGCACCACACACAAAGCAATCACGTGTTGACGCAACATTAGTATTAGTATTAATTATGGGATCTCTTCACAGTATTATGGGAACCCTTCACCAGGATGCATGCACTTGCACACGCTCTCTCGCTCGCGTGTTCACGCCACGCTGACGCAAGTTGTGGCTGTGGGATGGGTCGCGGTGAGTCGAACCACCGCGAAATCCGCAACACCCATCTCTGCCCAAATCACCGCTTCGCGTTCGGAATGAGGAAATCTCATGCGGTCTCTAGAGGGGGCTCAATGCCTCAGACATCCTCAAGACTCATTCCATCTCATTCCCTGCCCGCTGCCCGAGTCCCTCACTTCGGAGCCCTCGGTGCAGCGGCCCGAGCGTTCGTAGAGCGGGCCTGAGAGGTGGCCCACGTGCCCCGGTTCTTCCAAATATCAAACAGATGTGAGCTGTGCTCAAAAAGTGTGGCAAGCCCACTACTAAACATGAACAGGGAGGTTCTTAGCGCAGCTCATGTATCTCACTGACTTGCTCACCCTCTCAGACCTGATTCCCGTCCCATGGGCTGTTCATGCAGGTTTACGGTTTCTATATGTTTCTATGACCCGCCATAATGTCCAGCGACTTGCTCTATGATCCAGACACTTGTAGCCTGGTGTCCCTCCAACGCTCTTCACCTGGCAGCGTCGGATTATATGTGTGCAGCATGCGTGTCCTTGTCCTGAGCCCTTGTGCAGTAAACCAGGCTTTAGCTTGAATGGAAGTCATCAAACTGCAGTCAGCTCCACAAAGAATGATTGAACACCTTTTCTGCTTTGATTCACCCTCTCAAGGATCTGAGCGTTGAAATCACTGATAGACCTCCATCTTACAAAGCTTCTCGCTGATCATGTCTGGGCATGCTTTGGGCTCTGCTTTTTAGGATTTCTTCTTTTCTCCTTCAACATCTGGGCACTTGCAAAGCAGCAGGACACCATGGAGCCATCATTTGCAGTGTCCAAAAGGGCTCGGGGAGGGGCGGGTAAACACTGGTGCCCATGCCATCACACTGTCGCACTGATCTCTGGAACGCAGGTGTTGGAACATGATTGCAAAATCCTACAGTATGACATTTAGCATCAGCATAACTGCTGACTGTTCATCAACGACGCTGGTGGTGTCCGGCGAAGTGTTTGTGAACATGCGCATGTCACGAGAAATTCCTGGGCAGCACGTAGTAGCCTGTGGGGCCAACCAAGCGATCTGAGGCGTGGGAGGTCCATCACACAATCCAAAACATGCCAGCGTAGCAGTCACGTTTGATGCACCGTTCTGACTTGTGCAAGCCAAACCTCATAGAGCGGGAGAGAAGGTGGGAAAGCTCCCCAGACCGGCAGATTCCGGTCAGCCCGAACGCTCTCTCAATCGTTCGACCCTAAAGAAAAGTGTGCCGTTGGCCCTGCTGGTGATGCTTTCACGTGTTCTTGTACAACAGTTTTGGAACGGTTTGGACCTATTCGCACGCCAACAGACTCGCAGTCCGCTTTTCCCATCAGGTCTCTCTCAGCAGGCAGATTTGAAGGGTTGCCACAAATGATAAATGATCACAGTCAGGATCATTTATGACTATATACTCAATCAGTCAGGGAATGTGCTTTGGCAACCACCGCAAGGCTATGACCAAAAGCATCATTGCTTTCAACGAGGCTCCGCAACTAGAGACAGCATGTGGGTTGGAGCGTCTCCCAAGCTTGATGGGGCCAAAGGCCTTACAGCCCCCTCCGGCTATCTGAAGCGTCCTCCGGATCCAGAAAATCCACTTCCTCCACACCAATCCCTCAGTGAATAGCCTGGCGGCCTGGCGCGCCAGGCGGTGCGCGAGGGGGCTTTGAGGAAAGACCGCTATAGGTTCCTGATACATCACTTTCAAATCCAACGGAACGGGGAGGCAACCCAACTACGATCCACATACTAGGAAGGATAACCAGTATTGTATGACCGCCAACGACCACAGTTCATAGGTCAACTTCGGCGTCGGTTTTGACACCCGGAGACACTTACAAATTTTGCTTAAATTTAAATCATCATCTTCCCTCATCATCTGACCACCCCTTTGTTGAGCAAAGAATCCTGCATCAGGTAAGAAAAAGGGCAACCGCAGCATTTGCAATGTGCCAGGGCCCCACATGGTGCAGCATTTCTTCCAGTACTAACTGTTGTGGCCTACATACCGGCTCTCCATCCGAATCCTCCACATCACCCGTTTTTGCCAACTGATGGCACAATACAGCTTGCACATGGCCAATGGAGGAGGCATCCTGTAATTGCAAGCTAAAGCATGGATCAATGAGCAAACGGCTCCTGTTGGGTGTATCATGGATCTCTTCCATTCACCATGGCGACCACATGCGACCACTGCCGCTCGATGGCGTTTCAAGTTCACACCAACAGGGAAGCATCATGCACCAAGTGCCAAATCCCTGTATCGACACAAGCGATCGGCTTATCACCAACCCACCAGGTCTCAATCGATTTGTACAAACCGCCCGGCGTGAAACGCCCAAGCTTTCCATGTTTCACTTTCCTCGGCAGCTTCGCCCGGGAAGCTACAAACACGAAGGCATATCATACTGTAACATTAGATGTGCCATGCGGCTTTGAACTCCGTGAGCCAACTAATTACATAATAGTATATGACATTGACCAGCAGTAATTATATAACTGTCAATGCTGAGTCAAGCTCCAAGAGTTGTTGGTAGAAAAGACATGTCTGGAACGGTTCAAAGGCCTACTTTGCAGACCTGGCGTCTTGTCAATCTCAGCACCTGGCGTCATGGGGCAGAAGCCCTTCCGGACCACCACATCCTTGTCGCTGCAGAGGTCCTTCCGTACGTTCACGTATCGTAGCCAGGGGCCTTGTTGTGAGAGCGACCAGTAGCCACGGATTTGCACAGTGATGTTGGAGATGGTCTCTTGGGCCAAAGACTTACCTTTCACCTGCAAGGTTGACCTAACCTCCAAAGGCAGGTTTCTGGTTAAACATTTGAAGCCCTACAATTTCCATGGAGACGTCGCATGCTTCTCTGAATGAAGCACGCATGATATGGTGCACTACTATATTAAAATATATTCGCATTGGGGAGTCAATATGCAAACTAACCCAGGAATATGTCAGACTCAAAAATATGTGGTTTAAACATGTGCATCACTTCCAGACATCAAAATAGTGTTCAGTTCACATGGAAAATCGGATGCTCATGCCACAGGGTGATCGAACTGGAGAGGTGTTCCCAACTCCGCCGGCCTCAATGGTGAAGAAAGGGTCATTGATATGTACCACATCGGCCTCTCCACGTGCATTGAGCTCCGTGACGTTGGTGAAGGTCACCAATGGCTTCACTGCAGAATACCTGACGGCCCCCGCGCACTCGCGCAGTGTCTGGAGATGAGGAAGTACTTGTGATGAAAGCCTACAAATTCTGGCCCCAGAAGCAACGAGGTGGGCATAAGACGGTATAAGTGGGTCAAGTCTGGAAAGCAAGAATCCTTGAGCTTAAACAAAGTTGCTTGGCATCTTGCTTGCAGCAGCCTGTCCAATCATCACCACAGTCCTTCCAGCCGCTGGCAGCTGCTCCAGTCACTAGCAGCCAAGCAATGATGGCCACCATGGTGAAAGCACCTTGCCCCCTGACTCAAAGCCTAAATGTGCAAGATTCACTGATTTGGGTGAACCGGAACATTTTCCAAAAGTGATGCACGCTACCTTTAATAAAGGAATCCTACATCAGGCAGCTCAAATGATATCCCAGTGAGGCACATACTTCAAAATGAAGCCCTGTTGGCATGACCGAAGAGTCAATCCATAAGCACGGAAGAGTCAATCCAAACATGATCGAATTGGAAAGTGCCTCGGAAGGAATAAGCAATGAAATAGTAGTCGTCCCAAATTGGGTTGTGTGAATATGTGGGCAACGCTGAGGGATCTTCCATAGTTCAAGGGAGCATTTTGATGTGGGCACTCACAGGTGTTTACAGGTTTTTGGGGTGCGGTGGTGGGGGCGGTAGGTGCCAAGCAATTTGCAGGTGTGTTTGGTCCTCAGGGTGATGCCCTTGTTACTAGTAGCTTCTAGCTACTAGTAGTAAGGCACCTTGTAGCTAATAGCGATGCCCTTGTTACTAGTAGCTTTGGGATAGTAAGCCCTTAATTAAGGCCTTCCAAAATGCCGGCATAGCTGCACAGCTCCACAGGCCCGCACAACGTGGCAATTGGTTTCAATAAACGTGGTTCTTCCGACTTCCGTGCTGATGATATACGACATGTGACATATGCATATTAATGTGCCCAAAGATTGACATCGTTGATGACCACCAACCAGCACCGGAAAACTGAAGACAATGCCGAATACTAGCGTGTTACAGTGCAGCCCTTTTTCACATCATCGCAGCCACCCTGGGGCCCCTTCGGAGCACTGAAAGAACTTCAGCATCTGCCAAAACGCTGCTTCTGCAGGCTTTAACAACCCGCTCTTTGCTAAGTCGGGCATCACGTCTTGGCAGTTGCTCATCTATATAAGCACTAAGCGCTTCCACGACAGTGCTCCGTCTACATATCTTCGCCTGCAGGACCCATGGGAGTTTTGGTCCGCAAAAATGCTTGGTACATGAGCTGCGGAGCATCTGTCACCTGCAGGGCCACTCTCAATACTAACCTCCCGTTGGATCAACCAAAATCCGGAATGCTAAGGAATGCAATGCAACAAATAACTTGAACCCTAGAGTTTCAAGAATTGGTAAGGGTGGCACCCCCCCGTCCTCTGTAGCTGAGTGCAAGGTACTCCGGTTGTCCCACAACACAAAATCGCCTGGAGACCACTCGTGCACATAGGCTGCAAGCCTAGATGTCCCAGGAAGCAACACCTGCTCCAACGAATCTCGGGCTTCTTCCACCGTCATACCTAGCAACAAGGTGGCGATTCGAGAAAAAAAACGATGTGAGCATTGGCATGTGCTCCTTTTCCGATTTTTTGGTGATCTTTGGACTTTAGAAGCTTGGTAGGCTCAGCAGGAGGTTGGCCCACCGTCCGCCATATTTCACACCCTTGGCAGGTGAAAAACCCTCCCTGCTGCGTGTGGAGCGGTGATCACACCTACTCCCATCCTACTCCCATCCCAAAAGAAGGATACAGTACATTGCAAGCGCTCGCGAGCGCCCGCACTCGGTTTATCTTTTGTCCTTTCCTTTCTTGTGCCTTTTCTCGAATGACCTCCCTGCGTAGATTGTTAAAACAATGTTTGCACTAAGACTGGTGGTCGGATCGGCTGGTGGCGCGCTCCCAGGCTCACTCCCGCAATGGCCAAACGAACGTTTTGTTTCTCGGTTCTTTTCCATGATGTTGGCGATGCCCCCCAGGGTGCCCAACATATCCGGCACCCTGGGGGACCAAAAACTAATATATTAAATATATGCCCTGCAAGCCGCGACCACAAGGTCAAAAGCGGCAGGTGCCGTCTCTCTCTCTCTCTCTCTCCTCCTGAGCTTTACCAGGAGATGACCATTTACTGGGACGCCTCAAAACTGGATCCAATTGGTGTGTGTGTGTGTGTTTTCCTATGTTTGCAGGGTGGCTGTCTCGGTGCCAAGATGCCTTCACCACTCTCCAGGAAAACAGGCATGGTCCAAAGTGTGTGGCGCTTCGTGAAGGGATGCCTCCGAACGGGTGAGCCATGAAAGGGCAAGTATCTCCGAGGATTCGTCTGCTCCTGGCGTCGGCTCGCGCGCGTTGCACAAAACGCCCCGCGCGTTGCACCAAACGCCCGCGGCGGCGTTTTGTGTCTCGCTGTTGGGTCCAAGTGTGACTCGGAATGGTCCGTCCGATCCAACAAGCTTAGGACTCAAAACCAGCAGAGTTCCAATACATCAATCATCCACGTCCAGTCGACGGCTCCACTGGAGCATGATTCTGACCCGAACACCTTCTCGGCCTCCTTTACCCTATCCGTCTTTTTGGCTGATTAGCATCGCAGTTTGCAACTTTGAAAGTCCACGTCGTTTTTTTCCGGCTGGGCAGAAGGAACCGATCCGCCGTGCCTCGCTTCCCTCCCTCCCGTAGCCTCGCGTCGCCGGAGCTCCTGAGGCTGTGCAGCAGGACGTGCTATAGTGAAAGACCAAAAAGGCCGAGTTCTTTCATTTGAGGATATATTATCAAGATCCAGGCGAGTGCCCCCCAAAAAACGGTTGTTCCATGATGTTCAATGTTCTTCCTCAAAAAAGTGTTTCAAAAAGTAATGGATGGTGGTGAGTTGCAGAGTGAGCCGGTGGCTGGGTACAATAAAATGTGCTCGATGAAGTGCACAAAATTGGATATAAAACCAGGGAAACGTAGAATATATTGTTCTTGTTCTTGGTCGTCACGTTCCTATATATATATATATATCCATTGGCTGGTAGCTCAGTTGTTAATGTTTTTTTCCCCTCTATCAGGTATGTAAGTAAGCCTTTTTCCGAAGCTATGTCTGCCAACATTCACGTGGGCAATTCTCGTATAGAATCTCGCCATGCGTTTTAATTTGCATTCAGCAAGCGTACTCGGATGCATGCAATGGGGATGTGGCTTTCTGTAAATCATTAACACAGTTAGATGCAGAATCATTGCACAGGTAACGGCACTCCAAATGGGCAATCCAGGCTAAGCACAACTCTCAAAACCCAAATGCTAATGCAAAGAATATATAATATAACCCTCTAAAGACCTAAAACCCTGAACACCAGCAGCTCTTGGGATTTCCGGCTCTGGGCGCTCCAAACCTCTGGAGACCGCGACAGGATCCACCTGGACAGGGCGACCCCTCTCCTCTGCTGTCAGCTGTTCCTTTGCCACCGGCTCCATGAGCTTCAACCCGTTGGGGCTCATCCGCCCGCCCCGGCGGTAGATCTCTGCCACCGAGGCCTCCATGGTGTGCTTGGGGCCGAAGTGGAGCTTCATCCTGAGTGCTGCAGTGGGGCAAACTGGGCAAAACTGCTGGCAATAAGGCTTCGGCTGTAGAATGCTGTAGATATTCAATGATATTCAGGGACAACCCACCAAGTATCGAAGTGACTGAGAACCCCTCAAACGTAAGTTGGAGCTAGAAATGCACCAACAGGCTCCATATCGAGAGTGGGGCCTGTGTGCCCTTTGGCAAGCCTTTGGGAGCGCCTACATTCCTCAACTTGGAAACTGTCACGGCATCGATGGCCTAAAACCTGTCAGGTCATAGCATTCTTCCCCGTGATAAAATCCGTTTTTTTACAAAAAGAGGATACTACAGGTAACTAGCATTCTCGGCGTGTCCGACTGGCCTCACAAGGCTTGCCAGAATGGACAGCCATTTGCAGGCTTTTCCACAAGGAACGCAAACAGCCAATTTGCCAGACACCCGAAAAGCAGGCGAGCATCTCCAGCGCTTTTTGCTTCATCTGGTCATCCAGAATCTCCCAGGCATGGTAACCATTGGCCCAAATCGTGGTCCTTTTGACCTCTCCTCCTGGCACCAGGCACCAGTGCATTACTACTAGTAACAAGAAGCTACTAGTAGCTAAGTGCATCTACTACTAGCAAGGACGCTACTGTTACTGTTCAAAGCGTGGTTCTTTTGATCTCTCCTCCTGGCACTAGTAACCAGTGCATTACTACTAGTAACTATCTCTCGATGCGGACGCTCACCGTGAAACGGTGTCCGCATTGTGCAGGACACTCCGGTCTATGCACAACAAATGACCCCACAAAAATGAACCAGTCACGGAGACAGGGGGATCTTCCAAGATGCTAAGGATCGCCCTGCACCTTGTGTGAAGAGCCGTGCAATCTGTACACGTCCAGCGTCGGAAACAAAGGGAATGGCCCCTTCGATGCAGCCCTGCGGAAGGACTCGGCCACAACAACGGGGCTTGGTGGTATTGAAAATGCCAGGATGTGCCTGAGCTTTGTCATCATGATTCAAGTATTGCAGAATATCCCGCACCGTCCTGTAGATGTCGTGATATGTAGTCAGGTCTCTGTCTTTAACGAGTCTGAACCCAGAAAAGTCAAAAATGACCGCAAGTTCGTTGAAGGAGAATGACTGACTATCATCGACCATCCACCTGAGTTGGCGCAAGAAGGAAATCGTCTCATGCCAATCTTGTGCTTCCCCGCTCCACCTCGGGGGGGGGAGGGTAATGGTTGGGAATTTTGGGCGCCCAGGTGTACAAACTTCTCGGGGAGCTCCAAAGCCACGATGGAAATCTCCGTTGACAAGAAGCGACACTAACTTCCTCGGCAGGTTGGTCGCACTTCGGTTCAACCAGCCTGTCCGGTTGATGTGTTGGCAAAATCTCATGGAGATCAATGAGCCAACGTTGGTGTTTCTGCAACGCAACTGTGACTTCCGCTTGAACTTCGGATACAACGACAGCCGTTCTGTTGGCAAGGCTCTTTGCCGCTGCATCGACCAATCTGTTATGCAGGATATGCTCAAGAGTGGTTTGTCGACTGGCTGCGAGCTCTGGAGTCAAATATTCAACTGGTATGCCCTCAAAGCAGTGAGCTGGGATCCAGACAATTTTGAAAGGTGTGTCACATTGTTGTCGACGGAGAGCAACAACCCGTTGTAGGAAGCACCACCAAGAATGGCAAGTCCAATCACGTCCAGGGCTTTCATTTGCGAATATCTTCTGGGCTTGATCAACCACGCTTTTACAGTCGCAGAAAATCGTTGTGGGAAAAGCGGCGCTGGCACAGGCAATGATTATCGCCCAAAATTCAGCGATGTACGCGGAAACTGCCCAATGAAACACTACTCCTTGGTGTCGAATGTTCCGATGCTCGTCAAGGATAGCGTAGGCGGCGTTCGTGATCCAAAACTTGTCTGCATGGACAACAGAGCCGTCAGTCCACACTCGTTCAGTATGGTCAGGGCAGAAATTCGGGGCAATGTCAACTGAATCAACGTCAGAAAATTGCAGCCGTCTTTTGGCCACAAAATTGGGGTGAACGTAGTGCCCCAGCATTGCAAAGTTGGAACCAAATTCATGCCACACCGGATCTCCAATCTGCTCTCTCACATTGGGGCACTCAATGAGGTGTGCCAGGGATTCCTTCTCTTTCGCACAGAAGCGACACTGGGCTGATGTGACCCATCCTGAGGCAGCGAGGCGGTCGTTAGTTAAGGTACACCCAACTAACACATTTTCGAGACGAAGCACATGATCGGCCGAAAGCTTGTTTTTCAAATTGGGGGACCGAAGAAGTCGAGCCGTTTGTTGAAAGTCAAAAATGCCTTGCACTTTGCAAAAGTCTTTACGGGATTTTGGATCAATTGAGCTGTAGCAGGCCTGTCGAACAATGTTCTGCAACGCCTTTTTCAAATCTTTGGGTGAGAGCCGAAAGAAGGGAGCAGGAGGTGAGTTCAAAAAGGAAATGCACAGATCATCATCAACCTGAATCCCTAAGGTTTCAAATGCAGCATGAAGGCAAGCTGCCAAACTATGTTGGCAGTTAGACTGCCACGTTCGGCGGATTTGGCAAATGGCTTCCGAGGAGCTGAAGCACAGTCTTGAGACCTCCAAGATGGTTAAATAGGCTCCCGCAAAGATGGGCTCCGTTCGGTGAGGCTGTGAAAGGATGCACTGCAATAACTGTTTTGACCGCCACATAGGCTGCCCGGCCCACAGGGCCTTGGCAATAGCGTTCTGAATAGCTTTGATAGCTTTTTTAGGAATTTTGGTGATGTGGGCCCCAAAAGTGAATTGCGGAATGATCTTGGCACCAATGAGAAAACTTCGAATTGACTTAGGAACGGGAAGGGCTGCAATATTTTCCGTGTCCTGCAGTATTTTACGAAGTTTGGCATCCGAGAACCCAAAAGAGGGCCTTTCAGAGGTGTACACCTTGGTTCCAAGAACATCAAGCTCAAGCACAATCGGGAATTCGGGAAACTGAGAGCGAACGGCCTGACGAGCCGAGGAGTTGGTGCCCCACAAAGAGGACTTCCCCTCATTAAGTTTCTGTCCACTCAAAAGGTCCCACACACGGGTCAGCTCAATAGCCTTTGAAAGAATAGCGACATGTTGTAATCTACACCACAAATAAGAGTCATCGATGTAAGCTCGAGCAAAAATTTGGGGTAGGTGATCTAAAAGATGGCACCACACCTTGTTGTAGACATTGATGGCTAACAAAGACAATGAACAACCTTGGCATACTCCGTTAGACGCCGTTGTGGCGGAAGGAGACATCCATGAGCGATATGATAAATGTCTATGAAGACCATCATACATTTTAACAAAGACCGTGGTGACTCCTTTGGGAATGCCGAAAGCGATAAACAACGCAGCAACATATTGCGGGACTACCCTGTCGAATGCCTTGGCTTTGTCAAGTTTGATGCCAACAAGCGCATCTCCCTGGTGTTTAGCATCATCGATGTCTAATCTGATTTGATTGTAAAGATCAGACATAAAGCGACCTTTGATACCACCTAGAATTCCTGGGGGCATGACAGTTTGCTGCCACAGTTGCAGCTGTCTAAACCTAGCTCCGGTGTAGGCCAAAAGGATGGCAGGGAGTATCGTGATCAGTCTTTTATTAAGTGCAGTGGAGGGTCCGGGCTTGTTCAGGATCACCTGTTTTGCACACGCAAGAGCTTTCGGCAATGGAAGCGCCGAGGTTTCAAGAAGCTCAAAGAAGTTGGCGACCGGCTGGAGCTCACACGGTGTCAAGCTCTGGAGTTCAGGGGTGCGCCATCCATCAAGCCCCGGTGCGGCGCAAGACTTCCGTTGCTGAATGGTAGCATACAAATCACTGCCGGACACACATGGAAGATCAGCAGGAATTTGTTTGTCTTGAATGTACGGCCAAACCGTTTCCAACATTTTCAACGGATGATGACTAAGCAGATTGGCACTGTAAACCTGATCCCATTCTTGGTTCAAGAACTTAAGGGCTTCATCAGGCTGGAAAAGGATGTTGTTCTTTTCATCAACAACCGAATTCGTGGGTTCATCCAACTGCTTATTCTTTAAATGATGGAAAATATAGGCACAGCCCTGCTTAGATGAGTCATGGATCTTGTTTTTCCAGCTTTTGATTCGTTTGGCACGAAGCTGGGTTTCAAATGTTTTAAGCGCAGCTTCAGCCCATCTCTTTGCAAAGTAAACACATGTGAGAGTTGGCAGAGTGTGACAAGGCCAAGAAATGGGAGCCGACAGTTGGTTAAGCTGCCGGCATGCTTTGTCTGCTGTTCTCTGTGTGATAAAGGTATCTTGAGCCGTACCTTCATCTCTCGAGAGGCGGACAAAAAGTTCATTAAGTCTGCCACACAACTTTGCAATCTGGACCGAATGCCGGTTTGCAGCACAGTGCGTTGAGAGTTGTTTGGGCGCGATGGTCTTGGAGACAAACACTGGTTCAGCCCCTCGCACTTGTTTACCTGTTCCCCAGCGAGCCCCTTTGGCTAGGAGGGTATCCTGCAGGAAGGAGTTCACAACATCCCATTTGGCGTCAGAGTCACGGGCAGTATCGAAACGGTCTTTCCATTTGTCCTCCCAAACAAGAGGGGGTGGGGAATTCAAGTCAAAGGTGCAGTCATCGAGCACCAGGGGAGCGGCCTTAATTACGTGAAACCCAGTTTGGTTCAGGGTTGCCCACTCGAAAACGAGTTTGATCGGTCTGTGTTGTTTCCCACAAATCTCAAGGACTTCGGCTTCACGAAGGGCAGCAAATGCGATGTCATTAACAAGGACAGCATCAATAGAGGTACATCCTTCTCCCACACCGGCAAAAGTTCCATCATTACTGAACGTTAAGGGTCGAATGAGTTCTCCTTGTTCATCGACACGAGTAACCGGGTCATGCCATGACTGGAATGAGATGGCATTGGAGATTGCCGGATAGCTCATTGGTGGAGCTTGGAGGTCACCCGCAAGGATGATAGGGATCCTCCCAAACTGTGCAAGAAACAAAAAGATGTCGTCAAATAATTTTTTATTGGCCTCATGAATTCTGTGGTCTTGGGAAGCACTTGTTGTCGCATAAACCGAAACAACAAGAGCCTTCTTCTTAGGAGTGGCTTGGATCCATGCAGCAACAACCCTTTTGGTTTGAAACAGGGAAGTGTACAGGCCAGAAACATCGTGGCAAGGATCGAAAGCCTGGATATAAGCAGATCCCCCAGCAACCAGGGTGCCTCCACAAGGCGTTTTGGTGGATTTATTGCCGTACCACAATCCAGGAAGCATGTCACCAAAACAAGGCGTGAATCCAACGTTCTGAAAGCTCTTTGAGGCCGATCTGTGATTGTTTTTACCTACTCTAGTTTCTTGCAAGCAAATGCAATCGGCATCCCATGTTTTCCAGGTACTGTCGGCCAGCACCGACCCAACATTAGCTGAAACAAGCGAGAAGAGGCCTTCTGTGGGGCCTTCACCTGGGTAGCCCAAGGTAGAGTCGAAGGACTTGAAACACAAACTTGAAGTGTCACGTGAAACATGATGAATAGGGAAACAG